TGTTCAACCTTTTGCCTGAATCCATCATTTGGTGGATCATCTTTTCCAGAGAAAGTTCATAATGAGAAGAACTCATCTGAAGAAGGAAGAAGAAGTTCATAATGAGAAGAATTTGTTCAACCTTTTACCTGAATCCATCATTTGGTGGATCATCTTTTCCAGAGAAAGTTCATAATGAGAAGAACTCATCTGAAGAAGGAAGAAGAAGTTCATAATGAGAAGAACTTGTTCAACTTTTTGTTTAAATTCATCATTTGATGAATCAACATGGCCAAAGAAAGTTCATGAATGAGAAGAACTCATCTGAAGAAGGAAGAAGAAGTTCATAATGAGAAGAGCTTGTTCAACCTTTGTTTGATATCATCTGAAGAAAGAAGAGAAAGTTCATAATGAGAAGAACTCATCAAGAGTTTATTCAACCTTTTGAATGACTCTATCACAGAAAGGAGGTCATCATCATCCCCAGCAGAGAGTTCATAATAAGAAGAACTTATTTGGAGAGAGAGAAGAATTTACTCAATATCTCCATTATAATCAAAATAAAGTCAAATGGATAAAAATTTTATTATCTTTTCATCTTTGCCCTATTCTTGTTAACACAAGAATGAGCAAAGAGGGGCAGCTGAAGATACTATTTTTTTTATCCATTTTATTATTATTATTATTATTATTATTAGTATTATTATTATTAGCATTATTATTATTATTATTATTATTATTATTATTAGTATTTATTATTATTATTAATATTATATATTATTATTATTATTATTTAATAAATAATTACAACTGGACCGGCCCAGTTACAAGCCAACTAGAACCGGTCCAGCCAACCAGAAACCCTAAACAATTAGTAAGGTTTCAGCTAGGGTTTCTAAACCCTAGCCACACCCAGCCGCCTCTGATGCTTCCAGATCCCAGCCGCCGCCTCACTGCCAAGTGGTCCAATGGCCCACTGCCGACGCCTCCGCCGCTGTCACGTCCCGAATGAAGGCTCCAGAAGATCAACGCCGACCGTCCACGCCAAGGCTACGGGGTGAGTCACCACTGGTAGTCCGGTGACTCACCAAAGCCCTCTCTTCGGACCGGTCCGATGACCGCACCGGTGGTGGCTATAAAAGCCACCACCCACCTGCAAAAAAAAAAAAAAGGAGAGACAGAACGAGACACAGAAAAAAAAAAAAAAAGAGACAGAGAGACCGCAGGAGAGACAGAAACCAAAAAAAAAAAAAAAAAAAAAAAAAAAAGAGAAAGGAAAAAATAAGCTATACCAACGATCCCAGTCTACAACCACAGCAGTAAACCAAAGGAAAAGAGAAGAAGAAGACTTACCCTTGAAGCCTTTGTAGCCCTCGGAAGCCAAACGTTGCCAAACCGCCGTTTAAGAAGGTAGAACCCTTCGGTTTTGTTTAGATTACTCCGATTAGGAGTCTTTTAGAGAAACAAAGACCGGAATCGGTCTTAGGGCATTTAGATCTACAATTTGGGGTGTTTTTGGTGAATTCCGACCACCGTTACGGTGGCCGGCGGCGGTGGCCGGCGGCGGAATACGGTGGCCTATGGCTGCCGGTTTCCCTCCGGTGAGGGAAACCTAGAGAGAAGGCAGAGAGTTTGAAACTCTCTCGGTTTAGAGAGAGAGAAGGAAATGAGGAATGAAATGGTTGGCCCTTCGGGCCAGCCGATATTGGACATTTATAGTCCTTCCCGAACGACGTCGTTTCGGGAAGGACTATGCGCGTAATTACAAAATAGTTAAATCCCTTCCGCAGTCCTTAGTACTTGTAAACTTTACATTTTAGTCACTAAATTGAATTTTTAATTTTTTTAGTTCAGTCTTCGAATTTTAAATTTATTCATTTTAGTCCTTTTTATTAAAATAATATATTTAGGATAAATAACAGATTTAATCCTTTAATTTTAATAAATAAAGTTTTCATCCCTAGTTCATATTTTTAATTAATTTTATTTTAAAATTTGATTTTTAAATAAATTCATTTTAGTCACTAAGTTATTAAAATTAGAAAATAAAATATTTAATCCCTATAATTTCAATTAATTAGGAATTAGATTTAATTTTATTCATAATTTAATTATTTTATATGTTTTCATTTTATTGTTTAAAATATATTATTTTAGTGATATTTTTATTTTATTATACTGTTAAATATTTTTTATTTTTGATATCGAAGAAAAGGACAGTCTTAATACAACTGGATGTCCTATTCTGATATTTTATAATTAAAAATTAAATAATATTATTTAAAAACTAATATTTATCAATATCAAAGAAAAGAGCTGTCTTAAGGCACCTAGAAGTTCTTTTCGGATATTTTTAAATAAATAAATATTTTTTTTACAATTTTAAAATTATAAGATTATAAATTAAATATATTTTTGAATTTTTAAATTTTTAATAATAGAGACAATTTATAATTAAAAAGTACCAATTTTGGGCGTTGTAGGGGTGCTAATCCTTCCCTAAACGTAACCGACCACGAATCCCTTTTTATTATTAAAAAGAACGAATTTTTGGTTATAAAACGCAGATCAGTTCATCTTTTAAATATGGTTTTCTTAAAAACTATTTTAAAAGAAAATTTTTAGGTATTCGACCTACCTGATTCAAAAGGTCGATGGCGACTCACCAATTATTTTCAAAATTATTTATTAACATCAATTTCCCTTCCAAATTATAATATTTCATGCCCGGACGAAAACCGGTTACGACACGACTCATATTGCCAAGATAAATTATTATTTTTTAAAGTCAAATTGTACATAAAATTATTTAATTTAAATTTGTAAATCTATGTAGGTCGATGTGACAACTTTGATGGTGATATTGGATGAAAACAAGAAGCATTTATAATTTAAAGAACTCTATTTTAATGTGTTATCTTTGAAATCTTCCAACTTTATAGCATTTAAAACATAATCGGTAAACTTTAATTAAGACGGGTTTTATTATTGAAGATAATGCGTGTGTAAACTATAATTTAAATTAATAATTAATATATATATATATATATATATATATATATATATATATAAGTAGAATCTAAATATATCGCTCTATATTTGATTATATAAAAATATTTTAATTTGATTTTCTTAATATTTAAAACGATTAAAGGGTTAACTGTGCATTTAGTACATAAACTATCAGTTTTGATCTGTTTTAATATATAAACTTTCATTTTTTCAAAACCATGTCTAACGTTTAGTTTTCATTTCATTGTAGTATCCGTTAAAAACTTAACACGTTTAGTACCTAAACTATCAATTTTAGTTCGTTTTAGTACCCAACTTTCAATTTTTTCAAAACTTAACGTAAAATTTTGAACGAGATATTAAAAAAACTAAATTTTTTAACAGCGGGTAGTAAAATGAAATAAAAACTAAATTCTAGGTATACCTTTGAAAAATTGAAAGTTTAGATATTAAAACAGACTAAACCTGATAGTTTAGGTACTAAACAGATAATTTATCCTAAATTAAAAACCGAATTAACTAAAACAAAGGAATTTCGACACATGGCAGAAGTAAATGCCGAAAGAAATGAATAACAAATTATGGCCAATTGCTTCCAGCAGAGTCTGCCGTGGGACCCGAATGAATTCAATTTAATTTATATTTTAAATAAAAACAAAATCAATGGTCCCTATATGTAAAACTCATGCTATTTCGACATTTAAAATTTGGTCCCTATAATTAAGTTTCATGAATTTATCATTATAGCCAATGAGACATAAAAAAATTAGCTGATCCTATTCTCATATATAATGGGGTAAGGGGGAGGTAGGATAGTAGGTTGCCTCCAACGTTAGGTTGAGAACAACTTCCGTGGGAGACCTCCGGCAGTCAGAATTGTGAATTGCCCACCGTGAGACTCGATTCCACGACCACAAGATTAAGAGCCTTGCGCTCTACCAATGAGGCATATATAAATATCATATATATGAGTTAAGAGTTTAGATATATTTCTATTATATTCATATTAATCGAGTTCTGTAAAAAAACCTAACAGATATTATCAAATTAAAATTTTATTTTTAAATCATACCTTTAAATATATATTTTTAATTATAATTTTTTATCGTACCACGAGTTGTAGATTTTTATTTTATATTTACTTTTTATAAATATTGATTTGCATAATTATCTCAATAAATTATTTAACTCAAAATGATTCAAATAAAATTAACTAAAAATATTCATATGATTCAAATAACATTTACGTCGAATTTATTTTCTGAATTAAAAAATTATATTATCAGAAAAATTAACGTGAGGGTAAGTTATAACTTACCCTGTCCCACACGTGTACTAGTGGACCCCTGCCCTTTCTTTCACGTTGTTTCAGGAGAGGGTATCAAGGCAAAAAAAAAAAAAAAAACACCCACCGCTGCTCTTATGAGGAATTTTACACGTGGCAGAGGCCCTGACTGTCAGTTATTGAATCTTTCCATCACAACCAATTGAGTGAATAAGGCGGTAAACCCGGTTCTAGGATAACATCCCTAAAATGCCCCTACCTAGTTCAAAGAAAATGACCGAGAATCAGAGATCTACATTTATATTTTCTGGTCTAATTTTGGTCTTAGCTCCTATATTCTGTATATATCTGGAATTTAGTCCTCTATCTCGTGATTTATCAATTTAATTTCAACTAATAATGTTGTCAAAAAACATAGATCTCAGAGTTAAAAGAGCACAGGGATTGGGAGTGTAATTAAGCCATACATTTTCTTATTTTATTTTGGATTGAATTGCATATTGGAGTGAAATAATAAGAGGGAAGAGAAGAGGTTAATTTGGTAGACAAATCCTAAAATAGGCAAAATACCAAAACCAACAAACAACTCTGCATTTTTATATAACCTTAGATTTTTGCTCCACAAATATATTTTAAAAGAGTTAAATCGAACCGGACCGACCTGAATAAACCCCACCACCGGTCCACCACCATCTATAACTCTTTCGCTTCACCCTTCATAAAAGCCGACTCCAACTCAAACGCTATCATTTTTCCATTTTTTCTCTCCATTTCCATGGCTGTCGACGCTAGGCATCTCACTCTTTTCCCTCCTCAATTCTTAGGAAACAGGTTCGTCTTAAACAGAACCAAACTCTCTGAACAAGGAAATATTTTCATTCCCTTTTGAATCGTCTCTGAAAATCGTTCTTTGTTTACAGGGAAACGATGAATCCCATTGACACAAACGGGAATCTGTATCCGCTGGGGATGGGATACGGTTTTCCAACGGCGGCTGAAGGATTGCTTCCTTTATATAACTCTTTCGTTAACGATCAAAAAGCTGCAGCGGCGGCGGCGGCGATGAAATCAGAGAGTAGCCTGTCGTACAACAATGTTCTTCCGTTACCCAGAAAGCGTTCAAGGGATTCCATTTATTCAATCCTTTCGTTTCCTTCTCTTGTTCAGCAACCCCATGGCGATATCAACAACAGTAAAACTTGCTCTCCGTTTTCGTTTCTGGGTCATGATGTTTCCATTCATATGGAGCAGCAACAGTTGGATGTTGATCATCTTGTCTCCCGACATGTGAGTGTTTTGCCTAATGCTGATGGAATTTTTTTTAATGTTTTGAAATTGATGGGATTTGGGGATTTGTTTTTTAGATGGAGAGAATGAAAGTGGAAATGGAGGAGAAAAGGAAGAGGCAAGCGAAGAAGATAATGGATGCAATCGAAGGCGGGGTAATGAAGAAGCTAAGAGCCAAAGAGGAAGAAATCGAGAAGATCGGGAAATTAAATTGGGCACTCGAAGAACGGGTGAAGTCGCTGTGCATAGAGAATCAAATATGGCGAGACATGGCTCAAACCAACGAAGCGACGGCCAACGCACTACGGACAAACCTAGAACAAGTCCTCTCCGCCGCGTGTACTCGTGGCGTAGAGGAGACTGCTGCCGCGGCGGAAGCGGCTGGAGACGAGGTTGATGACGCGCAGTCTTGTTGCGGAAGCAGTTATTGGGAAGTTGAGAAGAAGTGCATGCCGGCAACGACCACCGAGGAAGGTGGCATCGCCGGCGGGCGGTGGTGTAGGAATTGCGGGAAGGTGGAATCGTGTGTGCTGTTGTTACCATGCAGGCATTTGTGCTTGTGTACTACCTGCGGGTCGTCGGTTCATATTTGTCCCGTTTGTAAATCCTCTAAAGATGCTAGTGTCCATGTCAACATGTCATAAGCCCCCCTCCCAAAAAAATCAATATACCCACAAAAAATACCCAAAAAAATGTTAGATTTTTCAATGTTTGTAATTAATTAAATTAATTTTTTCTCTCTCTAATTCATTAGTTCAGTATTTTATCAAATTAAAAATCATATTTTATTAAATATTATCAATAATTAATTGGTCTAGTGAGATGAGATATTAGATTCTTTAAGTAATATCAGGAGTTCAAATCTTAACGTTTGTGTATAAAGTAAATTTGATTATGAGGGTTGTCTCATAATAGAAGATGTCTACAAAATTCGATCTCGATTTGGATTAATTTATTAATAGATAAGATATTAATAATTAATTAAAAATCATATTTTATTAACACATTTTAACAAGCATTATCAAATTTCATATATCAAACATATAATCAAAGTTCAAAAAATCGGTATATATTATTTTTAATTTATGTTAATAATATCAAATTAATTTTAAACAGAAAAATATTATTTTATTTACTGATGAAGTGTTGAATTGATCAAAACTTGGTTGCCGATAATTTTAATTATAAGATATTAATAAATTTTGAACTAGATAATTTAAATTTTAAAAGATATTAATAAATAATATTTGAGTTAGATAAATATAAATTTAAAAAAAAATCAGAAGATTTAAAAGGGAAAATATACTATCATAAATAATATTTCGCATGTTCCAGAAAATGAGTTAGAAAAGCTTAAAAGGAAAATGGGGGTGGGACCCACAGAGTAAGGGGGGCATCTACCCGACAGATAGATAGAGGGTGGAAGAAGATGCTGAGGAGAAAAAGAAAAAAGCTAAAAAAATTAGATAGGCGCGTATATTGACTCGCGAAAAACGCGTGGATTAAACTGACCGAAAAAGACACGTGTGAGGCAAAAGCTGACACGTAGGACGCGCGCAAATGTCGCTGTTGTTTGTTCTGCCGCTGTTTGGCCGTACTAGTCCCCACTAATGTGCTTATCGGGCGAGTTAGACAGTGATACTCATTCTTATTACAAAAAAATTATTTATCTACTCGACTCGTTATTCGTTAAATTTATTAAAATTTTACTTGACTCATTGTTAAGAAAATTTATTGTTCTATTCATTACTCATCAACCTTGTAAAAATTTTGTTCAACTCGTTACTTGTAAGCTCATTAAGCTTATTGCTCGCATCATTATTCGTTAAGTTCATCAATTTTTTTATTTTTATTTTTTAACTATAATTAAAATCTATTAATACTATATAGAATTTAATATAAATATAAATTAATAAATTTAACTAAAAAATTATCAAAAGAGTATATAATACAACTTTAAAGTCTAAACACTAAAATAACAATTCATAAGTACATTAAAATAATAATTAGGATTTGCTTTTTTGAGTATAATAAAATAATAATTATTAATTAAGAATTTAGTATTTTAATTATTTATTATAAAATTAATAGATTTGTAATTTAACATATTTTTTATTATTTATTAGTAAATTAGTAATTTTTTGAATGAAATAATTTTGTTCACGATCCCTAGCCCCCACTTCCCCCATCGCATTTCCCTAGTCCAAAAACGCAGCGTTTCAAGGTATTTTTTCTTCCATTAAATCTCAAGTATTCTTATTATATTGTTATATTTTAGGGTAAAATACACACATATAGCCACTAGATTATAGATCCTTTTCTATTAACTCTCTTGATTATAAAAATTAATAATAGACTACAGAATTATAAAATTAATATAATAAATTTATCCACTAAATTTATTTTAATCTTAAATCTCAAATCTAAAAAGTTAACCTCTAATGTTCTTATTAATATTCTATTAATTTAAACATATTTTCCCGTACTTTAAAGATATATAATTTTAATCTCGAAATAATTCACAAATATGGATTGTCATTTGACCAGCCTTGTTGGTGGGAAACAGATAGACTTAACTTAATGGGGTAGTTCTGCTAAACGACAACTTTAATATATAGCTAAGAAAATGTCCTACCGAAAATGTTGATATTTTTTTAATATTTTCAGTAAAGTGCTACTTAAAACATTATTTTTTTACTAAAAATATTAATTTCGGTAACTAATTTCCGGTAGAACCTAATATTAATATTTCTGGTAGAAAAAAAATAATATTTTAGGTAGCGTTTTACCGGAAATGTTAAACAAATATTAACTTTTCCGGTAGTGTATTTCCTTAGCTGTATATTAAGGCTGTCGCACCTGAGACATCCCAGTTAATGGTGTCCCTCATAAAATCTATGCATAACTAACACACAAGAATATTGGAAACATGACTTCTTGTGACAAGGGAACCATCATCTTAGTTTTTTGTTTAAATTAATCTTTAGCATCACACCACTTGGTCCAACATAAAAAACAATTATACTAATAAATTTCTAGTTACATTTGTTAAATGGTTGATAATTTCTCAAAGAATAGATTCAATTCCAATAGAAAAAGCAAACAAAAGTATATAAAATAAGGTATCTTTCAAGTTTGTCAAAAGGGAATTTAAGTATTAATTTATTTATATATTTTAATAGCACCCATCCATTTTCAAAGATTTTAGGTTTGAGAGGTGTTATATTGGTATAAAAATCACTTAATTTTATATATCTCTATTTATATGGGCCAAATAACCTGCCCTCTTCATTGGTAAAAATAGAAAGAAAAAAAAACCACAGTCTATAATTATTCAGTTGGGTGTGGGGTAAGAACAGCAATGGGCACCACAAAAGCATAGAATATTGATCCAATCAACTATAATGGACCACTCCTTTAATGGAAACCCTAACTTTGTAAAAGGGGCACTCACTTTGTTCACTAACTCCATCATTTGGAATTGATTTTTGTTGCTTTTCTTCCTTCCTTTCTCTAAATATTAAGACTACCATGAGCTTAAGAGACAAGGGATAATGAGGTTATATATACATATATATACATATATATAATGAGCTTATTATATCGATGTTAAGAATAACAAACGGAATATTACAATGGAGTTTATGGGACTGAAATCAATTTTACAGCTCATTGTCAATGGTAGGGAGCATAAAGAAAGGAGGTCCAATCTTCAACGGCATTTATTTGTTGGGTGGGAAGTGGGAACTTCTACTTTCAAGTTGTCATGGCATTTTTTTAGGGTTTCTAAAAATATCCCTAGTTTGATTGAACAAGGAATTGTGACGGGTTACGTGAATTTCTTTTTGATAAGGAATTGGTGGGTCATGGCATCCCACAAACTCCCAAAAGGAAGTGTGCTTAAACCATTCACCCACAATGACAGTTCTTTTTTATTTATGCCCTTTAAGTGGGAATTTCAATGATCTGCCAATCCCATGAGACTACATTTTTTTTAAATACATAGGATCACCATTGGGTGGAGGAAGGCTAAAGATCATAGAAAAGGGCATTTATTTATTGCAAATGTGATAGATTGTTGTGCAAGTGTAAACATCAGCTTTATCCACTAACTCAACGAATCCATGTGCCCTATGACCATAGAGTCTTTTTCTAATACATTCTTGATAATTGTGGATGCTAGCCAGACTCCCTCCTCCTTGGGTAAAAATCATTATGCTTCACTTATATATATATCCTCTCTTCATCATTATTCATGAGTGAAAGCTTTGTCTAAAAGGTGTTTATGAATAGTTCCATCTTGTCAACCTTAGGCAACCATTGTAAAAACCCAACCACAAATCATTCATGTAGTTTAGTTGGGTTAAGGAAAATTGGAAGACATGATACCTAACATACATAGATTTTCATATGTCTAATACCATAAATGTCTCAAGTTGAGTCAGTCAGATCCAGTTTTGAGAGTAAATTCGATAAAATTTGCTTTTTTTTTATTCACCATATTTGAATTAGAAATCTTACTTGAGTGGTATCAATCTCTTTCCTAATTAACCTAACAAGCATTGAATAGGGTACTTTAATAACATTGGAATGGACAGACTACAGCTACAACACCTAAAAATGTTGAAGTGATTTCCTGATGTAAATGCAATGACTTGTTTCAAGAAAAAAAGATAAATGGTCTGTACTATGTTCTTTTCATCTGTATTCCCCTCATTTTCTGTCTCCTTTTGTCTTTTCCCCCACTTTCTTTCAAAGTTGTACATCCCAACACATTGACAAAGACATGAGCATGGAGTTGAAGATTACCTTACAAAAGAATCAGCCATCCCAAAATATGTATGGTACTATTTGTCCAGCATCACAATTCACAAATGCATGATAATAACATATTGTGCTATCCATATAGACAATTCACTATGCATATGCAGTGGGCGAGGGCAAAGATTTTGGCCCACCAATAATGGAATGGACCATGCAAAAGTTCTTGTCTCTATAAAAATCACAACTCCACATAGACGATTTTGACACCAACATGCTTTTCTGCAGTCAATAATATACATGTATATAATATTAAATGAGTTGAAAGAAACTGTGTTTATGCAGTGTTCAAATTCTCTATCTAGCTATATGAAAGCTTGACCAGCTGCCCCCACTGTTATCCGTCTAATCAGTCTTTATTTTTTGCTCCTAATAGTGGAAGGATCAGTGCAAAATCTTAAAGATTACATCAAATGATGAAACATCTTTCATCATTCAATCAATTAAACATGTTGGAAGGTGCAAGGTAATTTCAAGCATGTGAATATAATTAAACTCTAGCATCTACTTTTTTGTTTATCTTTCACATGATAGGGAATTACTTTTCGTGTCTTGTCTACTAATAGGGGAGGATGCTAAATGCAATCAGTTCAAAGTCATGGGGCCCTATCATAACAGGTTTTCAGCAAGTTGTTTCTTATTTTTTTCTATATTATCAACTGCTTTTCTAGAAATAGTTGGAAAATTACAAGTACAAACTATACAATCTATGGCTATTAGGCCCTTCTTTTTTCAAATTATGTGTCAGCACAAGGATAAGACAACATTGTTAAGTTCTCTCTATCATGTGACATGGTAGCAGCCTGTTGTTTTTGAACAGTAATAGGGTTAGGCTGCCTATATTTAAAGAAAAGCCAAAA